ATTCATTCATTCATTCATTCATTCATTCATTCATTCATTTATTCATTCATTCATTCATTCATAGATAGATAGATAGATAGATAGATAGATAGATAGATAGTATATGATTATATATATTCATATACAGAAAGATTATGGGTAGGTACAGTGCTATTGACCAGAGTCCTGATATTCTGTGCTTCCCATTCTATAATTTTGGAGCTTGGTAAGGTGATCCTTGATCCCCAACAGGATCAGCAAAAGTAACTCACCGCAGCATATGACTGAGAGATTCAAAGAGACAGGAAAGAACTGACATCAGCATTAACTAGAAAAAAAAATCGGATCGAGAAAAGAAACTCATATCAATAAGAGTCAAAATCTGGTTGCTAAGCATACAATTCTGCCTGAGCACTGTTCTTCTGAAATCAGCTGGAAGCAGAATCAAATTGGTGATTCCACAGAGCTCTATCATTTAGCATCATACTATCTTTCTGCACAAAGATGATTTCGTAGTTATTCAGGATTCTGTCCAACCAAGGTGAGTCTTGGCTTTAATCAGAAGTTTCCTCCTTGTACAGGTAGTCCCCAGTTTAAAAATGAGTTCCATTCCCAAGGTCTGTCCTTAAGGTGAATTTGTATGTAAGCCAGAACAGCATTATTATATAATGCTGTATTAGTATAGTGCAATTAACTTGAACCATTGAGTATTTAATTCAAATTTTGCTACAATAGGCTCCATTCTTAACTATGGGTTGTCCTTCTAGGAAGCGAATAAAGAAATACTACCTGTAGTGTATTTCTTTATTTGCTTCCTATTCAACATAGTCTTGCCATAGAAATAAATTGTGGGGAAAGGAAGCATGCACAAACACGAAACAGAAACTAAATACAAATTACGAAGTCTAGAATATTATTTTGCCACCCATTTTGCTCATTTACCTAAGGCTTAAAAATGGTTTTCAAAGGACACATTACCTCATTTTCATGGGAACTTCCCACCACATAAAAGAAAAGATCAATGCTGCTTTTATAAACTATAGTTAAGCCTTCCAAGAAAGCAATCTCACCTGTGAGAGAAAAAGAGAAAAGAGAGAATTATTTGGGCATCATGTTCAAAGTATCTGAAAACTGAGAGGCTGATGGTTTACCTGATCTTAATTTGGCTGTATCCATCTAACATCTGCATGATTCAGGAATTGTGGCCCAAAAGGAAGATTTCTACTGACTGTAGGCACTGTTGATATGGTTTAAAAAAATAAAACCTTTCAAAGTTGCAGATTTGAGTTCCTGGCCACCAGACCTACGACCTATGGTTAATTTGGTAGCCAGTAGAGTTGTGCCCGTTATGAAAATTATTCAGAATTCTGTGCTTTGGAAGTTGCCCAGCCATGAATACAGCCACTTTCTGCAACTTGTTAAAGCAGCCTCTCCTTTTTTTTCCAACTTCCAGTACTGCCTGAAAATAAGTATGCCTGTTATAAGAATTGCGCTCACTTTAATGAGTCAACTCCTTCAAGTAATTGCACCTTTCTCAGGCTTGCACAGAAGCCTGAGAAAAGATGGGTTGTTTTAATGAACAGCAGAGAGATGCTGTGTTCATGCTGCCACAAGGTCCAAAGCACCAAATTTTGAATCATTTTCAAAGCATGCCCAGTCTTGAGCTTAGATGAAAAATATGTCTGCCCTTCATGATCACAACCAAAAGTTGCCATTAAGGGTTTTCCCCATTTATACCTAACGACAGCACACATGTACTCTGGGCATATAAGTTTCTGAAAGAGGCCTCTAAACTCTGCAATCTCTCTCTATAGCTTGTGATGTAGTTCTTCATGTACCTCTTTGCTGCTGCTGGACTGGGTTCACATGACAGGCTTAACCCCAAAATCAGATTAACAAAACATAATTGCTGCAATCACATACATGCCATGCCCCCAAATGTACCATATTACGGCTTAATGTGACAGTCTGGTTCAAACAACAGGCCAAGGCAATGGTCAGGCTTCTCATAAAACTCTGAACCACAAGCTGCACAACTTCATTTAGCCCAGTCTAAATCCAGCCTATATGTTCTTTGTTACTCCTCGTTGCTTGAAATACAGTACATTTTTGTACCAGAGGAAGGAGACTAAGGGTTTCTCTTTAGCAGGCCAGATTGTCCAGTTGCTGAGTTTTGAGATGAACTCTTACTCACTGTCTGTCTTATGAGTTTTGTTGAAGACGTTTCTCTCAAAGCTCTTCTGTTCTTTTGTTGATGAAAATGTGTTGTCATAATACTGTGGATAGCCAGAACAAGAGGTTTAAAATAGGGATGAAACAACAGAGGAGTTGGGAAATGATTTGCAAACAAGAATTATCTTTATCCAAGATCACATACATCTTATATCAGTGGAGAGAACTTTGACTCAAGAGATGTTGCTGCACTCTAGCTTCCATCATTCCTCGCCATTGACCGTGCTGCTTATGGACAATGGAACAACAAAATCTGAAGGGCTATAGGCTGTAGGTAAACTCTGAGCTACACTTCAAAATGGTACTATTCTCCCGGGGACAGAAATTGGAAATTCATCTAAGTTAAAAAATGGCAGACAAAAACATCACCTGTCTTTTGTAAAATAAAAAAGGATTCTAGATTTATATTCAGCAATATTTCCCTCCAAAAACTTTTGGATGAAAATAAACAATTATAGAATTTCCCCAGATATAATTACTTCTTCTTATGGCCTTTTTCTGACAATACAAAATGTTCTTCACCTATGTTCATATTTACTGAAGTTAAACTTCCCTAGATGTGAAATTTGGTAAACTGCTATGAATAGTTATTGTAGTTATTGAAATAAATGCCACCATAACAATAAATACACCATTGTGTGTGTGTGTGTATATGTACTGATATTCACAGGCAATGTAGCTGAAATTATGTTAACTAAATTCTCAAGTAGGAAGTGCAATATCTTTATTTGAATTAATTTAAATTTTTGCTTTCACTAATAACTAATATTTCATAGGACTAGCCTTCACACAATTTTAGAATTCTAACTACTGGTATACTTAGTCAAAGATAAGGTTGAAAATGCAACAGTAACACAGAAGAGGCCAAGGTTCATGGAAAGATATCCATCTATTTGCTAACACTAGACATCAGAACTCAACAAAAAACTACAATGAGCTTTTTTCCTAGAAGCTCATTACATATAAATAATAGATCTTGGGGTTGCTTATCCTTGGCAGGCATTGTTAAAAACAAAATGGTGGACTATACTTGGATCTGACAGAGCAGTTTTTATATTCTCAAGTTCTTGTGCTTAGTTTAGCCCCCCAGTTCTGTCCAGTGAAAAGATTAGGTAACAGGTGATATAAAAGACTTTTGCTGCCTCATATCCTAGATAATTCTGCCTTTTAGAGTAGATAATTCCAGACCAAATGGACAAGTACGTTTTCTTCAAACATTCAGTAATGAATGTAAAAAGGAGTTCCAAGACTGACTAACTTTACCTCTTGGATGCCGAGGTGCATATTAATAATGCCTATGTTATGACTGATAGCCAAAAATAAAAAACAGGTCATATATTTGTGTTCAGCCCTTTGAGGTAGACCAGGTCAGGAAACCTACTCCACAAGATTTACTGGAACTGTTTATTGATACAGGCTATAGTAACAGAATCCTGAAAGCCTGACAGCATGTTCCTTTCCTCTTATATGAAGGTGGAGACAGTTTTTTCCTAATGCTCTCTTTCTGTCCTGGGCTTAAATCTTCTTTAACTGCTATCACGTACCTTCTCCAAGGTCATCTCTGTGATTCTCTTCAATTTGTGATCTGTGCACTGGTAATTTTAGATGCTAAACTTAATGGAGTTATGGGGTGGGGTGGTGATATATTTAACTTATGCAATAAAGCAGATATATATTTTGGAGATCTCCTTGATGGGGTCCTGGACCTCTGTGACCTAAATTCTGACCTTGAGGGTACCACTGCATGTATATAGGCTTCTCTCCAGGATGACAAGAATCCTGATCAATCAGGATTCCCATTCTCATGGACAGCAATCTGTGCAGATACAACCATCGTGTCTGGTATCCTCTTTAGTCTGCAGTAGGTGACAGCATCTAACTGACCTTGGCTGATCTTGTAAAGCTAAATAGAGTTAGTACTGGTTAATAACTTGATAAGAGGTCCTCAGGAAATCTGGAGCTACAGGCTAGACTGGGAACTAAAAAAAATCTGAGAAGATCAGGGCAAACTATCTCTTTATTGTTGCCAGAGAAACTATATGGACCTGCCCATGTAGTCACCAACAGCTGAGTTTAATTTGAAGGAGTTCTTAACCTTTATTTTAGACTGATGATGACCAAACTCCAGATGGGGACAGTAGCATCAGTGAGAGGCAGTAACTGGTATATTCTTAGAACATTATGGGGACTGATCAATGAATAAGATCTATAATCTGACTTGTTATAAAGCAATTGCCTATATTCAGTTCTCTACATAATAAGTGTAGCCAACCAAACTTATGCATGATTACTAGATGTAAGGATCACTGCATTCATGCTGGCTTATTCACTTGTACTTTCAGTTGGAGTTAGTTAACAATTGCTTTAGATAATTATTTTATATTTTAATTATTTATGTTTTATCTTTGATTGTAAAAGCACTCTAGATAGAAAGATAGTGGATGATTAATATTAACATTAATAACAATAACAGTAATGATAATGGGGATCCCAGCCTTAGTTAAAATCCCTGTTGAACACAGTGGGATTGATTTCTGAGTAAACTATTCATATACTTATCCTATAAGATGGCTAGAATTTAAGTACATCATTGTATCCCAAAAGAAGCTATTGTTTATATATGATCTGGGAGCAATTCTGTTCCCTTGGTCTCCAAAGCTGTGCAGCAGAAGATGCAGAATAAGAATGACCAGTACATGACTTTCAGCTTGGAGAACAGCTTGGACAATTGGGCTTTTTATTATAGAAAGTAGACAGCTGAGGCAGCTGGGATGCTTAATGGAGCTTTATAAAAACGGCACTGTAGAGGAAATGAATTGAATAGGACGTAAGTGATGAATTGAGAGTGAAAATGTTTTCCCTGTCAGAATATGATAGTGTGGAGGCATTGACCAAAACTGACATATAAGAGAAAAGGAATTTCTTCCTACAGTAAAACGCAATTGATGGAAATCATAGGATGTTTGCAAGCAGCAAAAATTGTTTAAAAGGAATAGATGGTGAGGAATTCTCTTGGATAACTTCAGAGGCCCCCAGGGTCACATATAGTCTCTCAGAAGCCTCCAAATTTATTTTTTTGTAAACACAGAATGATATATATATAGATAGTAATAAAAGGGGGAAATTATTAAATACATATGTGTGAAGGGGGTAATCTTATGAACTTTAAAATTAAAATTAATTGATTTATTTTAATTTTAATAACTGTTTAAATCAAATGCAGTTTTTGTTCTGGCTTTACTTCTTTGGGAATACATCCAACTATGCCAGTCTAAAGCCAGCTGTGGCCCTAAGTCTGAGAAAAGTTGCCCACTGAGATCTGTTGACCTCCTAGAATTCTTACCTGGCGCCACAAGTAGGTTGCTGTTTACAGTAGCTAAATGATCCAACAACGCATTCCTTACGTTCTGGGATGTGATCAACAAGCCCATCCCAAAATTCAAGGGATTTTAATTTTTAGAATTAAGCTGGTCTCATTCTTGCCAGCCTCTGGATTATCCAAGGGCCTCAGGTAAGCTGTTTTAATTTTTTCAAAAGAAAAAGTGGAATGTTTATAAACTGCAGATGCAACAGGCAAAATAAACCTCGCATTGTATTCCCTTGTCTCTTGAAATGTGTCTGGCTTCCACTGTGCTATGGAAGCCAAGAGAGAGGGAATCATATTCTCTACTTTAAACAGTTTTTTTTTTTTTTTAATTCTCTCTTGTCCTTAGGTTTATCAGAACTTCAATAAATAAGCAAAATTTCAAACAAAATTGCTAGAAGTATCCTACCTTGGCCAAAAGTCGTTGTCCAAAGCTGTCCAAAATGAAAATTGCTTTAATAGTATAGAGGGATGGTTCCTAGGATCAACATTAATTGGTTTTATTTCACTGCAAGTATTCAGACAACAGCCTAAATAATTAAACAAATAAATCTGAAAGTGAGACCCCTGGTGTTCAACCCCTATTCAACAGGCTTTCCTGAAACTTTTGTTTCAGGAAAACAAAATACTATTTCAACTAGTATTTCTACATATCATGTCGTTAATGTACCTCATTTTCATTCCAACCTGTCATTTCTTTGGTTTCTGTACTGCTGTTCTGGGTTCTATTATGTCTCTGGCCAAAGCACTCCCATGTTTGGAAGGCATCACTGGGCTCAGAGAAAGGTTTCCAGGCAACCAACATCTTCAGTATAGACTGTAAGGTGGTAGACACCAAAATCAGCCCAGCAAGGACAGAGGGGGCTGGCTGTGGTGCTGGTGGAGATGGGAAACCAGGTAGAGGAGAGAAAGCAATCCTGCATAGCTGGGATACACATGACAACCTTTTGCTACAGATTCAATATTCGTAGGTTGCTGTTGTTGTTAATTTGTTAAGGATGTGCCAACGTGTAGCAAACTTTACATGGCCATGATCTTATCTTGACAGCATAAGGAGCAAATAAACATCAAAGCAGAATCCGCCCAAAGAACTTACGGCTGCAAAGGTGTCTTGATTCTTTCAACAACGCTTTTTTCTCTCTGTGGGTCTGCTCCCCTTTCCTGCCCCATTCTATCCACCCTACCCAGATAACGCTTTTGGTCTGACTGGTGTTTTCCTCAGGCCTCCCAGCAGCAACCCGGAGGGTTACAGTTCAAGAGACTCAACCCAAGGAGAACTAGGCCACTATTAAGACCACAGCGTCCAGCTTCTATTCCTCTTAGGAAGATCTTCCCCTCTAGTCTCCCAGCGCCTTTTCCTCTCCCCGGCCGAACGCGTGCCAGAAGTTGAGAGCGCGAAGTTCTGCGCAGGCATTTGCTGCGAAGCTTCCCCCTCCCCCGTGGCGCCCGCCTCCCTTGCAGCTGCTTCCCCACCCGCGTACCAGCAGCAGACCGGAGGGGATTTCCATGGCTCCAGCCGGCACTCCGGCGGCGCGATCCGCACCTCCTCCTCCTCCTCCTCCTCCTCCTCCGGGTCCCCTAGCCACGTTCCCGAGGTGGTCGTGCTGACGTGGCCGGGCCTCTGCTTTTTGCATCTCGGATCGCTCCACGCCAGAGCTCAGCTCGGACCAACTGAGCTGCTCCGCCCCACTCGGGCATTGGGTGGGCTGCAACGCTCCCCCCGCCTTTCCGGCCCCCAAGTGTAGAATGAAGGACCACTCCTAAAATGTCCACGCAGGGAA